CGTTATTAATAAAACAAACCTGGAGCCAGGTATTGGGCTGAACGCTGAATAGTCACAGAAACAGAACAAGCCACATCCAATCTCACCTTGCTAATTCCTCGGCCAACTTGTTTCCTTGGACTGAGAGCCTCTGACTCCTCATCTGAATGGATCTCAGCTGAACTGCTGCTAAAAAGCTAAAAGCTTAAAAGAACTCTAGTTCCCGGTCCTCACCCCTTATATACCTTTCTGCTTCCTGCCATCACTTCCTGGGACTAAAGGCGTGTGTCACCATGTTTCCAGTGTGGCTTTGAACTCACAGAGATCTGAATGGATCTTCCTCCGGAATGTTAGGATTAAAGGTGTGTGTGCCACCATTTTCTAGCATCTATGTCTATCTAGTTCTGTTCATTAGCATTTGTATCACCAGATATATTTGTTAGGGTGCACAATATATTGGGGGACACAAATCACCACACCAAGCAGTGTCAGAACGGGCGTCCTGAGCCAAAAAGCCACCTCCCGAAGCCCTGCACTGGCTCCTCTCAGGAACGCAGTGTGTGCTGACCCAAGGTTGCCAGGTAGAAAGTGGCTTCATAGGCAGCTAGGTGACAGGCTGCGATCCAAGCTGCTGTTCTGGACCCTCTGCCTTAGAGCTTAATTATTAAAACATAGAACTTCCTTATGAGTTTGCAGGTTTTTTGTTTGTTTGTTTGTTTGTTTGTTTGAACGCAGATCCGTTTATTTTTCAAAGAACACGAGAGAGTCCTGAGGCCAGTGTTGAGCACTAAATATTCCGCATGAATGCAGCATTTGCAGCTTGGTCTAGTGGAGAGTAGTCGAATCAGCCTTGGTTTCAGCAAATGCAACGGCAAACAGAGGGGATCATGGGAGCGCACTAATGAATAAGTCCGGGCTCACCACAGACCAGGCCTTTTCTAAACGCATATTGGAGGGACAGGGTGGGCTGATAGAAGTGAAGCAGGGGACTTACACTGTGTGAGTCTTGCAAGGAATGTCAGACTTTTGTAGTGTTTGACCAGAACAGTATTTGAGTAAGATTCCTCCTTCTGGGAGGCCATGGCAGGGATCCAGACTGGGAATGATGATGGCCTGAACTGGGGGTGGGGGCCTGAGGATGCAACACGATGCTCAGCCACAGCCTCCATCACTGATGTGGTACTTTAGCCTTTTATTGACTGAGGCCTTAGTCGATAGATTAGTTGTGGGGTTTTGGATTGTCTGTATTTGTACTTGTTTTTTGTTTTTGTTTTGTTTTTTAAGCCAAAAGCACGTGCTGCTTTTGTAACTAGAAATAATATTAAAATGTTATTGGGAATAACAGCCACCACTTGGATTCAGTCAGTTAAACTGTGCCTGTCAGGAGCCATACCACTGCTATTTTGTTATAAGATCTTATTGATTAAAATAACAACCATAAACTACAGGCTTGGACACTTGGGGTGGTAGAGTCCCTTGTTCTATCTGAACACATGTCTGTGAGTTTCACTGGAGACATTTTGACACAGCAGTTCTCAGTAAGGTCTGTAGGGCCCAGCATGGATGTGGGCCCAAAGAACACAGATTTACAAAATCATGAAACTACCCCATGTCCCTACTAACATGAGGCCACCTGCCGTCTTCCCTCTGAGAGGGTCTCTAAATCTAGCTGAGTGTGTCGTGGCCACTCCAGATGTAGGGTCATTACCCTGTGAGGGCTCACAAATGGGAAGTAAAAGGTCTTTGCCTGACAGGACCTTGGACATGGTAAGGAGGCCCAGAAAACCCACAGACTCACAGGAGCACCTCCACAGCCTCTCATGAACATTAGAAGATTCCCACTCTGACAAGGAACTTCTGCTTGATCTCAACTGCTGTTAGAACTTAACAAGAGAAGTCTCTCAGTTCTGTCATTGTGGAGAAACATGGACTTGGTTGATTTCAGAGATACAGCTCTCAGAAAAGGGAATGATCTTAGCTAGGCTTGTCTACACACTTGTTAACACCAGTGCTCAAGAAGCTGAGGCAGGAGAATCATTTTGAGTTCCAGGCCAGCATAGGCTACATAGTGAATTCTAGACCAACCTGGCCTACGGAGTGAGCCCCTACTAGGGACTTTTCTTTTCCCTTGATCAGTAAGGCAAGTATTGCAAGATAGTAAGAATCCTGGGGTGGAGACCTCTCAGCTCAGCAGTCATGTGATGCCTACAGTCACGTGATACAGAACTTCAGGCTGCACTGTCCAGCCAGAGGGGCTGACTTGTGCTTGTTTCTCTTTCAGACCAAAGCAAACCTTGTGACCCCGAGAAATGGGGAGCCACTCATTGCTGCCATTCAGGACTTCCTAACAGGTGAGTGTTACCTAGAAAGGAGGCTTTGGCTTCCCAGGCACAGTGATTCAGATGATGGCCTGAATGCTATTATCTGTACTTAGGAGTCTTCCTACTCTTAGTTTGACACAGGGTGCCCCTGGGTGGCTCAGCTGGTCTGGCCTGGCACTCAGAATCCTGCCCTGCACTCCCAGGTGCCAGGGTTACAGGTGTGCACCACCATGCCCTGTCCTGTATTTAGGTTTGCCGTTGACCCTTGAGCTTGCTGGAGGTATTTTTACTGGTTGTTTCTTCATTTGATTCTGTGTGTGCTCACTGAGCTTCACAGACCTGGCTGGTGTTTCTCCTCACAGACTACATTTTCTTCCCACCCTGCCCTTCCCCTCAGGCCCTGATCCTGAAGGTGCTGTCAGTGATCCAGGACCACCCCCAGTGCATGCCTCTGAGAGCTGGACAAGAGCAACAACTGCCTCACCATGGCCCTGTGTGGCTCCAAAGGTAAGCTAAGCCCTCAGGGTTGGCTGTCTGTGTGCCCTGCCAGGGGCTTGACACTAGACAGATCTTTGGTGGTCATAACTTCATAGAGGGTCTTCAAACTAAATTAAGTCTAAATCATGGAAGACTGAGCTTTGGTTTGATTTGGGTGGGGCATTTAAGTCTTTTGGAGAAACTGGTGGGTAATTTGGCTGAGTTCTGAGTTTGAAGGTGCTTTGACCAACTTTGGTATTAAAAAGAAGTAAGCTGGGAATTTTCAGTAATAGAGTTAGTGAAGTAATAATCTTTTTTCTTTTATTGCAGTGCTGAGGATCAAACCCGGGACCTCATGCATCTCAGGCAAGTGCTCTACCACTGAGCTATAGCCCTAGCTTAGATGTGGCAAACTTCTTTAACTTCCTGTTTCCTCAGACCCTCTAGCATTAGGATTCTTAATACCATGCTCAAACTCAGAACCTCGGGGCCTCTGTTGCTGTCATTTTGTTCATTATGAAATAAAATCCCCGCTCTCTAAGTTGGCTGCCTTTTCCCATTGTTCTACGTCCTGCTCCTGTGCACACCTGGGGTCTCCCCTGCTCTACCTTTGCTTCTCCCTCACTCTTCCACACACATTCAGATTCCTTCTCCCATCCTCCTCTCTCTGCAGACCCCATGTCCAGAGTCCAATCTGACGGTCATCAGAAAGACTCCAGTGGCCTTCCCTCCACCCCACACCTGCACATGCCCCGGAGCCCTTTCCTTGGTTCCAACTGTCACTGTAGTTCTGCCCTTCAGTCCCTTGGACTCCTAGGCTATGAGAGCAAGGGTTGTGCTGTGTCACATTCTATTTTATCCCTCTGGTCTGCCTGGCTTCTGTTATTGTTTCCAGTACAGTTTTCCATTTCT